TGTTATTTTAAAAGTGTTCATGCAATATTCACTTGAAAAAAAATACAATTCTTACAATCCCAAAATATGTTTCAGCTTTAAATAACACACGAAGGGCTGATAAGTCGTGAAAACAAATCAATCAGCTACTCGTGTGCGCATGTGCGTGTCTCTTTCTTAGTGTGGGTTTATGTGCATATGTGTGTATGCGCGCGTGTGACCTTTTTGAAAGGAGATAAGCAGTCGGGTAAATCCCCTTTTTAAGATTAGCAAATGTCCGATGTTCTTTGAGAATAGATTATTTGCGAAGTCAACAATAGAAATCGATAAATCGATAAGCAAGCGGGAGATAAGAACCAATTAGGATCATTAGTGTAAATTAAGGTCTTCATTCTGATAGATACAGGCTCAGTAGTTAAATACGCGGGGTCTGAAGGTCACACTTAGAAAGAGAGAGAGTATATTGCAAGAATAAAGAGGGAGCATAATAAAGATAGATACATAGACAGATAAAGAAAGAATGATAGAGATAGAGAGAGGAAGTAGAGAGAAACCCAGTCATATAAAACGAAAATGACTTGAAGAATATTTTTTTTATTTACACTATTGATATGCGGCCATTTGTCCTCATCTTTATTGCTGTTATCACAACGTTTCGGCCGTTGTGCCCTCCGGCCTTCATCAGGTGTGTATCGATCAGGTTCCCCCTGAGCAGTAGCCGAAATGCGTTGGTTCGTGAATTTCATGACGTAGTAATTGTAAGTTAAATCCCTGGGTCGGGCAGGGCGATCAATAACTGTGCAGTGCTAAAAATAAGAACTAGACGAGATATCTCTAGACGTAGAAAACGGAACGGGTTCAATCTACACCCGGAGATTAAATAAAAGATTCAGTTTAGAATACCCTGTCGGTTACCCGGATCTACATACATTTGATTAAGGCCGACAGACACACCACCCGAAATGTTGTGATTACAATAACAAAGAGGAGGACCAAAGTCTGCGAGTAAGTCGTAATTCCTCATCCCAGATGTTCGAACAGAATCAAAAAGAGATGTACTACCAGGGGGATGCCCCCTTTAGGCTTGAGTTAATAATAATTCCAACTTTCCCGACAGAAGTAAGGTAAGTATATGTTGTAGCATACCTACGGACGATAATGGGTATGTTCCCATTTACATAAATACAGTAGTAAATATTGTATGTTGGTCTGCCGTTAGAGATTCGTTTCCAACTGTGCTGGTCAAACTCTATGCCTCCGGGCTGAGAGGATCCCCAAACAAGATTATGCGAAAGGGCAGATTCTCGTCTCGGGAAACAGATACTCGACGCGATTTGTTCCGGTGTTCCAAGTCGGGAATTCTCCCGGCAACAGGTCACGCGAGGTCTTGGCGGCTGCTCTTCCGCTGTTAGCATATCTCTCTAACTATGTGAAAACTCACTCTGGTTGAGTGGTCAACACGATCTGATTATATTATATTAGTCCGGGCCTAGACTGTCATGGGTTGGGACTCGTCTTGGGGATTCGGTAATTCCCCAACTTTTGGAATTAGTTGCGGGTATCATTATAATAATAACATACTTTATTTTATGGCTCGCACCATTACTTCTAAACTGGCGGAGGTGATTTTTCCACTTTTCTCCCCAAGCAAAGGCATTTGCATTGATAAAGTCACTCAGAGAACGAAATGCGTTGGGTAAGATAAATTTTCCTTTTGTTCATTTATATATATATATATATATATATATATATATATATGTGTGTGTGTGTGTGTGTGTGTGTGTGTGTGTGTGTGTGGCCGAATATGTGAGTGTAAACGAAGAATTATGTCAATCTTCAAACACGGGTCTACCACTTTCATAATTTTTATTTATTTGAGTATTAATTTTCTTTCAAATTTAAACAAGTGAATTACAAATATTCTTTGCGAACCAACTTGTATCTTTTTTTACAGTAGATCTAAATGAATTGCGTTATTATAGGATAAGCGGAAAATCCGTCTGTATATGTGCAGATGTATGTGACACAAGTTTACATTGTTTTCACTGTGTGTATATAAAATTCGAGTAGTCAGTCCCATGAAATAAAGACAGGAAGTTAGTTGCGTCTATTGACGCATCTAAGCAAATTATCGTTAAGCATTATTGTTAATTTTGTATACTCAAATATACGAAGCCGTGAGTAATTAATTGGGAAAATTTCAGTTTCGCTTGGAATAATGGCGTCAAATGATATTCCTCCTCCAAAATCTCTTCATGCGGCATTGTACGATACCAAGCATATTAAACATCTAAAAAGCTGGATTGGGCACTTCGAGTTGGTGTAATGGTTAACAAGCTTGTCTTGGTAGATCATTTTACGACTGAGTAGCGAGATTTATCCTCACTGGATGTCCAATACCAGTCATGCCACATCTAAGCTATGCTTAGGCAATCACGGCACTTCGACGTGGTGTAATGGTTAACAATCTTAATTTTGTATACTGAAATAAATATGCGAAGCTGTGAGTAATTAATTGTGAGAATTTCAGTTTCGTTTGTGTGATAAACGATCGAACACACACTCTGGTCAAAGGTTCGTTGAAAGACTAGTTAACGAACAAGAATTGATCACATTTATGGTAAAATAGTAGTTTCCGGATGAATCTAAAATTTAGATTTATCTGAAACACATTGGATAATATATATATTTCCTAATTTTTAAATATTCCTTTTAAGGAGAGATAATACTGTCGTTCATATTTTGAAGTGAGCCTCCAAAAATTTATCGTTTACCAATTCAAAAAGTACTGCGCGTCTCGTACGACGTCGCTGGTTGCTTAATATATATAAATACAAAGATTCAAATAATTGGAGCCATTTTTTTTTTTTTTAGATAATTTGAGTTTCTTGCGGTGTGAGTCTGCCAGTGTATGAAAAATGAGTCAGTTGTATTTAGTTTAATTTGTAACATATATAAATGTAGGTAGAAACAAAAGCAAATGTTGATAAGATAACAAGGGCCACAAATCACTGCCCTAGGCTCCTAATCAGGCTTCCCGCCCAGTCGAGACACTTCGAAGATAGTAGGCGCCGGTCCTGGTTATATGATCGCAAGGCGAAAAAATCTGCAAATATGATCATCATTTGAAAACGCCAGCATTTTTCTTCTTAAATATACTTTATCAATTTGTAGGTGCGTATCTTTTTTTTTTTTTACTAGTGTTCAACCAATGCAAGGCTCAAGCGTCACTCAATGTAGAGGCTCATGAATGGGGTGTGTAATATGAAATAGTGGGAAGTTTAGTTTGGTTTGATTTATTTTGTTTTACGGCATATCACCTCAATGTGTTATTTAATGCCGACAACATTTTTAGAATAGATTCGTATGAATAGAATATGTATTCTTTGGTTTAGATTGGTTTGGTTTATTTTGTTTTACGCCATATCAACTTCAATGGGTTATTTAATGCCGATAACATTTTAGGATAGATTCGTATGAATAGAATATGTATTTCGTGGTTTAGATTGGTTTGGTTTATTTTGTTTTACGGCATATCAACACCTCAATGGGTTATTTAATGCCGACAACATTTTTTATTGCTGGTAATATTTTGTTTTGTCAAAAATCTGTTTCTGGTAATATTTTCCCTTCAAAATTGTATTGCTGGTAATAATTTTTTCAAAAAAAGTATTGCTGGTAATAGTTAACTATTTGCCCATAGCTGAGACCCTAACAGGTGCTACCACCCAGGATCAAGGTGGACGTGGGAACACGAGCAATTAAGAGATTGTTCCACGATCCTCAAAACCACCTGATCAGAGGCCTTGTTGCTGGATGTAGTTTATCGTCTTACCCAGGATGCGGATGTAGTTTAACGTCTTACCCAGGACGGAAGTAGTGGGAAGTAAATATTATGTAGATATGAAAGATACATAACACTGACCCTTGATTTGAAGCGTTGGCGTTCGGTGGGCGACAATAAGGAATGGGGCGGGTTTGAACATTTGGCATAGAAATAGCGATGGAATAGCGACATCGCATATGAGGAAAAAGGATTGAAAAGTGGAAAATATGTCATTCGTCAAAGGCAGCGTAAACATGATACATTGTGGCGTATTATGTGACGGCCAATACGGCTTTTCTCATTTGAAAAGAAGGAAGGCAGAAATCCTTCGGAAACGAAGAAGTGTCAACGGGTCAGAAATAAAAGTAACGCCGCCATTGCATTGAATATTTTGACGATGTGAAAAGGTGATTTTTGCTTCGATTGATATCGTCTTTGGCTTAGAAACTGACAAATCGTCAATAACGAATCCCCCTTCTCAGAAACCGCATTAAGCAGCGAAGAAATTGAATAAAATCAATAAGATGTAACTGTATTAAAATAGAAGGAAACGAAAGATAAAGATCATATATATATATATATATATATATATATATATATATATATATTAAAAAAAAAGTGAAAAACCGCAAACGTTTTTGATTATAATGTAGATTTGTTTTGTCATTATAACCAAAAACGTTTGCGGTTGCTCTCATTTATCTCTCGTTGGAACAACTATAACATTTTCCTATATATATATATATATATATATATATATATATTATTGCTCAATTTATTTTGATTTATAGTGATTTTATAACATATTTATGTTATAATTTTTAAATAAATAATTATATATATATATATATATATATATATATATATATATATATATATAGAGAGAGAGAGAGAGAGAGAGAGAAAGAGAGAAGGGTGGGGAGGAAAGACAGCGTAAGAAAGGAGGGGCAAGATATATTGGGTTGGTGCATAATTATCAGGCGTTTTTTAAACAATATTTATTATGGAAAAAAAAACATAACAATTCAACAAAACATTTTTAAATGATTATTCTCGAACGTATGAATATCGACACGCATTTTTAGATCTAAAAATAACATAATATTTTTATTTGAAAAATATAAACAAAACAGCAATTCTTATTAACAAATAAGTCGCCTACAAAACGCCTGATAATTATGCACCAACCCAATAGCTAGAGAAACAAACAGAAGAGAATGAAAGACAGAGAGAGAGAGAGAGAGATAGAGAGAGAGATATAGAGAAATAGAGAGAGAGATAGTAAAAAAAGAGAGAATGAACCACAAAGAGATGCTAAACAGATAGATAGAAAGAGTGAGAGGAAGATAAAAAGAGAAAATAGCTACTACAAAGGGAAAGAGAAAAAGATAAAGAAAGAGTAATCGAGGTCAAGAAAGGAAAGTAGAAAAAGAGAGCAACACAATTATATAGAAGAGAGAGGGGGAAAAATTAGAGAGGTGCAGAATATGACAATAATAGGGAAAGTGAATGAGTGATTTGTTTTTTACGGTTTATCAACCCTTTGGTGGGTTATTTAAATTTATCTAAATTCGATCCATTATGGTGAAAGTATAAATAAACATTATATTGACAAGGCTCTCATCGTTTTAGGAAAGTCACCTCCTCACGACCCAGTTTGGTTTTCGTTCTAGAAAGGTATGCAGCAATGGCATATACGTATGTCATCAAACAACTCCAAGAAATTGCTTACCTCTCTAATAGAAAATTGTATACCTGTAATGCTGACCTCACATCAATCAAAATTTCCTCTCCTCATCCATTAGAACCCGCCTTCCAGATGGCATCGATCCAAAAGAGGAACTTTATCGATCTACAAAATCTTACATGTCTGACGAAGACCGTAATATGGAAAAATTTTAAACCGTGTCAGAATTATTACAAAGAGGAAGCACTATTTCATTTACTAGTTTGCTACACTATGTCTTTAGCATTTACAAGAAATAGACCCTGACAGTTTAAGGATTCCATGCCAAATCCCCAAATGAATCAACTCATTGAAGAAAGCCGTTCTGCTTTACATCAATGTATTTATGATCATAGGGTGGGGGCTGTTATGCTGATAATATCGACATAACAGGTGGGATAAGAACAATCTTGAAGAAAAAGATGTCGTTCTTTAGCTAGGTTTCCAAGAGACAAGACAAACGTTTCCAAACAAAACCAATAATCTGGAATTCAATGAAAGTAGTAATGGCGCGTAATCTGAATCCATTATAAACAACTAGGATATGAAATTTGTAAATACTAAACACTTCAGATACCTTGGTTCAGTTATTACAAATTTAGTATCGGTGATAAAGAAATTGAAGGCAGGATAAGCTGCGGTAATGAGAGTTTCTCACAATACCGCATATTACTACAAAACCAAAACATCAACCTAAAAACTCGAGTTCTGTTCTTAAATAAACCCATCAGCTCGAGAGTTTCATGAGTGGATCTCACGCATGGTGTCAATCCAGTTTAAACGTATCTAAATTGTCAGCTGTATACAACCACTTTATAAGATCAATAGTTAAAAATGGCTTCAAGCGAATTATTTTGGCGAAATCAAACTTCTTCGAACCTTGTGGACTGGCACTACAGAATCACAAACAAAGAACTGTACCATATAACAAAAACTAGATCTCTTGAAGACTTTCAACAACAACCACAACTAAAACGGATGTCACCTTTAACTGGAAGAGATAATATTTACGTAATCAAGATGTTGACAACTTCAAATAAAACTTTAAGAAGGACCTCTTTATCAATAATCTAAAGAGTGACAACAGCTATTTCAAATGAGAAATATATTTCCCAGGAAAATTGTTTTAAGAGAAAATTTTTATAAATTCCAACTGCCAGCAGTACTGGCTGCTTGGTCAATGAATGCCAAATATTTCCTTATAGGGAAACGGCTTACTATTAATATTAGCATTACTATTAAAAGCCGAGTCATATTTTGGATTGAAAAAATAATTCTCGATTTTTTGCGGGTGAACAATGCATTAATAATCTTTTTAAGAATGTCAGTGATTTTTTTTTTCAGATACAAGTCCAACTATTTAACCCATAGTTGGTGGGGGAGATGGATTCATACTTTTTCTTTTTTTGCACGTAAGTGAATGCAACGAAGCTGACTGGAATTCGACTCTCCGATTTCTCATACCGTGCTGTTGTCCATTACACTAGTCGCATATTCACAAGAGAAAGAGAGAGATAGAGAACGAGAGAAAAAGAGAGAGGGGGAGAATAAGAGGTGGGGGTCAATAAAAGAAAAGTATACTGAGAAAAAGATAAAGCTATGAAAGAGAGAGTGACAAAGAGAGGCCAATAAAAGAAAGACAGCGAAGGAGAACGACAAAGATATAGAATGAGTGAAAACTGTAGAAAAAGCTATAAAAAGCGTAAGAGAGAGAGAGAGAGAGAGAGAGAGAGAGAGAGAGTATGAGAGAAAAAAGAGAAAGAGAGGGAGAAAGAGAGAGAGAGACGGAGAGGTGGGGGTCAATAAAAGAAACATATATAGAGAGAAAGATAAAAATAGAGAAAGACAGAAAAATATGGAAAAAGCTATAAAAAGTGTGTGAGAGAGAGAGACAGAAAAAGAGTGACGGAGAGAGATCAATAAAAGAAAGATATACAGAGAGAACGACAAAGATATAGAAAGAGTGAAAAATGTAGAAAAAACTATTAAAAGCGTACGATAGAGAGAGAGAGAGAGAGAAAGAGAGGTAGAGAGAGAGAGGTAGAGAGAGAGAGAGAGAGAGAGAGAGAGAATAAATAAATAGAAAAAGATGAATAAAAAGAGAAACGGCTTAAGAATTCGAGGATGAAATGAAGGGAAAAAAAGAGAAATATATAGAGAGATAAAGATAAATAGATTGAAGCGAGAGAAAACGAGAATTTCTGTTGAACTGATAGCCTTATTCTACTTCTATTCAATTCGATCTATCCTTTTGTTTTTTCTCTCTTCTGCACATGATGAAAATATCCCAGTGGACATTGTCGATTTTTTTTTATTGATACTATTAAGCAGACATCTTTAACCTTTTGAGCAGAGACTGTAATGTCCACGCATGCGTAGTTGCACCAGTCAGCAATCATTCATTCATTGCTGCCATCTAGATCGCTTTTTACAAAGCCGCTATTCATATATTTTAAATAAATGTTCTGCTTTGTCCTGACATTTAAATATCCGAGCTTGTTTTTACCTTTTTCCTGATCAAGTAGAACAAATATTTTGCCGTGCATAATACAGTGACCCCAGATTCTATTTCGACCTCTTGATGACCTGATGATTTTTCTGATGTAATTTGAAATGAATATTTTTAAAGCTTTCGTTTTTGTTTTGTTTTTTTTTTTTTTTCAAGTTTAAAGCCGATTTTTGATCACTTAAAAAATCTATTATGATATCTTTCGTGGAAAAATTGAAGAACTTATCAATTATTAATATCAAAACTTGACAAGATTCGCAAGCAGATGTTTACAATTAAACGTGACTTTGATCTAAACTAGCTATATAAGCTAATAAAGCTTATTTGGTTAGCTTCAGATCAAATATGGTGACAGTCTCGCCGAAGGAAATATTTTCGTTTTACTTTGACTGACGACTGAGAAAAGAAACGCAGAAGGTTAGAAAAAACAAAAAACAAAATGAAACGGATAGGAAGATAAAAGAGAGTGTGTGTGTTGGGGGGAGTGTGTGTGGGTGAGATTGTGTGATGGAGAAAGAGTGCGTGAGAGAGAGAAAGTGTATGTTGTGTGAATGAGAGAGAGAGAGTGTGTGTGCGTATGTGAGTGTGTGTGTGTGTGTGTGTGATAGAGAGATGAAGAGAGAAGACGAGGGGAAAGAAATGGAAAATTTTTATTTGGTCTAAATTTACTTTAAATGAAAATCGAAAATACGGAATTGAAAACGAAAAGAAAGTTACTAACTGATTAGAGCAAGTACAGCAGAATCCCTGACAACCGGACTAAGAAGGTCTTCCGGATATGAGGAATTGGTTACAAAGTCCGGATATCAGGGGTTCCGGATATCAGGGTTTCTGGATATAAGGGACACTAAAACGAACAAGCCAATCGCTAATATTTCTTTATACAGTAGAAACCCCTGACAACCGGACTTAGAAGGCCTTCCGGATATGAGGAATTGGTTACAAAGTCCGGATATCAGGGGTTCCGGATATCAGGGTTTCTGGATATAAGGGACACTAAAACGAACAAGCTGATCGCTAATATTTCTTTATACAGTAGAAACCCCTGACAACCGGACTAAGAAGGTCTTCCGGATATGAGGAATTGGTTACAAAGTTCGGATATCAGGGGTTCCGGATATCAGGGTTTCTGGATATAAGGGACACTAAAACGAACAAGCTGATCGCTAATATTTCTTTATACAGCAGAATCCCTGACAACCGGACTTAGAAGGCCTTCCGGATATGAGGAATTGGTTACACAGTCCGGATATGAGAGGTTATATTTAGATTAAAATAAAAGAACTGAAATCAGGTTTAACATTTATGTTCAATGTTTTTATAGTAAACAAAATAAGTTAATGTTGAGTGAAATATAACGGAACTGATTTTAAGGAAAAAGAAATAAATTATGTAATATTAATGAAAATTCATTAAAAAGTATGCCACGTATGCAAAACAAATAATGTAACGAGGATTTTTTAATCGCTTTCTCTTCTAATGTCATTCTTAACTTTTTCCGCATTTCGTTTTGCTTTTGTTCTTGAAATTTTTTAAACGAAAGACACACTTTAAGTCTGCGTGCGTTATTGCAATCGTCATAGCTGAATGCTGGCTTTCTTTTCATAAAACTGACAACCTTTTCAATAGCTTTTTCAATTTCAGTCCAGGTTTCACCACAATCATGCATCTCGTCGCTATCTTGTTGCAGATGTGTCTCGTTGTCCTCCTTTCCTCTTATTCCCATCATCTTTTGCACCAATACAAACCATTAGGATGAAATAAGTATAAGCAATTACCCAAAGTAAATTTCCTGAAAAACAGAAATTTCAAATCAGTTACATATCACCCAAATAGTTGAAATATACACATCAAAATCATGTCCGGATATGCGAGATTCCGGATATGAGGCACACCGGATATGAGGTTTCCGGATATAAGGGATTCTGCTGTATTACCAAATTATTGCAATTATGTTAACCTTTCATTAGATGCTGCTAAGTGCTGTCTTCTCAGGAGTAAGTAATATTAGGACAAGTCAAAAATTATCCGTACTTTCGCCATGACATATCTTTAGGTTTGTTACACTGCCTTCTTCTCATGCGTGCTTATAGTTGGTACACTTGTTGTCACGTGATCGAACTTTGAGCTTTGTGTAGCCGGTTTTCTTGCTGCTATTACAGTGTAAACATGGTCGCCCCGCTAGCAGTGTGCATCAAAAGCAGTGATCTGATTTCTCTAGCCGGAAGGTGTGTTCATCGGAGTCTTTTAACACAATACGGCGACAGTGCACCAACCCGTAGAAGTTTGTATGAGTGGATCGAGAAGTTTTAAAGTGTCCGGACAAGAGCAACGCATGAATAAGGAGTAGGACACCCGTCAACCCACACCACTGACGAGAAGGTTCAGCAAGCTCGAGAGATGGTAATGGCGAACAGGCGAGGTATCATCGATGAGCTGGAATGTTCTCTGCAGATTCGGATCACTGCTCTTTCTTTCTCCTTGGTGCACACCGCTAGCGGAGCGGTCATGTTTACACTGTAATAGCAGCAAGAAAACTGGCGCGATCAAGCTCACAACTTCGATTACGCATGTTATGGCGAAATTGCGGATATTTTTATTTATTTACCCTCGTAAGTGAAAATATTTGCATTGTTCAAACCGCCTAATGACGCCCCGTTGAATTTAATCATATCATTAAGCGGAAGAGCATTCTTCACTTGAAATTTCCAGGTTTGACAAGACTGCTTCTGCGGCAACATGGGCATCAAGACAGACATGTGCTTTTACTTTGTTTTAAGCTGTAGCTTCAACTACTAATATGTGTGCCACAACAGCAACAAAATCATTTATGTGAACTCAGAAATCTATTTTAACATCACCATCTTTTAGTAAACTTTTTGTTTCACTTTTCAAAGGTGAAAAATCCACATAGCCAGTTCTTAACAGATATGCAGGTGAGAAAAAGCAAGTCCTTTTTTCACCACTTTAGTTTTTTTTGAAAATTTTGAAAGTTTTTTTCAACATTTTGTCACCAAATTTACAAATCTGAATGACAAATTTAACAACTTCAACATACTGTTGTTCATTTTTGTTTTGCTGACGACTAAATCATGAGCAGGAGAATTCTCAGTGTTCTCTTTGTCCGCCATGTTGAAAAGTTTTCTGCCTTTGGGTAGATGGAGCTCGACAACCCATCTAGAAGAAGGAAAACCATGATTTCTTTGAATCTTGTCAGTATGATCGAGATGGAGGCCATATAGTATACATATACTAACCCCCAGACTTACACGCTGGAGAGGACACTCCGCTCTCACAAAGGACTGAATTTAGAGTCTTGTTTTGTGGGAGACGCAGTTTTCAAAAAACAATCCTGCTCATTTTCCATGTCTAAAAGATCTTTGCAATGCTTGAAGTACTTTATACGTGCCAGAGGCTTCAACCATCATCAATTTGACACTTCTTCTTAATGATAAAGATGTTGGCCAGGATTTGCCATACCATACTGAAGTAAGATGGCTAAGTCAAGGTATTGTACTGAAGCATTTTTTTTAACTACAAGGGGAAATTGTAAACTTCATGGAAATGAAAAGGAAGCCTGTGGTACAATTACAGTCCCTGGAATGAGTACAGGACCTTGCATTTATGGTGGATATAACAGACTATTTGAATAACCTGGAAAGAATATTTTAAGGTCATAACAAAGTTGTCACAGTACTATGACAACATATGAGTCTTCAAGGCTAAACTTGTTTTGTGGAAGATACAGTTGTCAAACAATAATCCTGCTCATTTTCAATGTCTAAAATATATTTGCAATGCTGGAAGTACGAAGGACTTGGGCCAGTACAAAGAGAAAATTTCCAGTTTGCTTCAACAATTCGAGTGCCATTTTGAAATATTTGAATTCAAAATCTTTTTTAGTTCATTCTCTGTGACACCTTCTGATGTGCTGACTGATATGCAACTCGAGATAATTAATTTTCAATGTGACTCAAACTTGAAAGAAAAGTTTGTCTCGAAATATACAAGTATCTTTTTCCAAACTGAGAGACCTAGCTGCCAAAATTTTACGCATGTTCAGAACTACTTACTTATGTGAGTAAGTTTTCTCAGTAATGAGTATCAATAAAAAACAAGCTCCATTCAAGGATAACAAACAAAAACTTATATGACATCCTGAAACTAGCTGCTTCACAGGAAATCTCCCCTAATATTGATGTACTTGTCAAGACTGAAAGGTGTCAGGTGTCTGGATTACACTAAGTTTACTAAATGGCTAATATTGTCAGAAATTTGAAATTAAAGCTTAGCCTAGTCATAGCTTTCTAAATGTTAGAATGTTTTGTAAAGAATTCAGTTTAAGCTAATTTGGTTCATTTCAAAGTCTTGTAACAATTTTTATTGAATAAAAACAATACAATTTTCTTCATCTTGACATTTTCTGTACATCTAAGGCACGCTTAATGTAAAATTGAGCTCATGTGGCCCCCGAGTTGAATTTGACACCACTGATCTAGATATAACCAAAAGTTTTACTATCCATGGTAAGCTCATTTGATGACGACAGGAATGACCCTCTGACCACTTTGATATATATTTGATAAAACAATAATAAAGATTAATTTTTTATTACAATGATCTTCCCCCTGTACAAGGCCCAGGATCCACTTAGGGTAAAGGATTACAGAATAAGAGATACCATTCCAAGCAAGGTGATAATTCCACCAAGACAAACAGGGGCACTAGAAGTGAAAGAGAAGGAAAAGTTTTTAGAAGGAACAGGAAACAAGGGATAAACTCCTACTCCTGTTCAAAAGACTGGGAATGAGTGTGAAGTGGATGATAGCAGATAGCTCAATTTTACATCAAGTGGGCTGGAGATGATAGACATCTCTGGCTCACTTGATGTAAAATTGAGCTCATGTAGCCTCCGAATCAAAATGAGTTTGACGCCCCTGATTTAGACCAAACAGAACGCTACCTTTAAGGTCAGGATTAGTTTATCCACCAGCTGTATGAACTTCTATTTATATGGTGAAGATCCGACGTTTCTTT